GGGAGTCTTCACCTACAAGCGGATGGTCTAAGTCAAGGTCTACCAGGACCGAGTCTACAGGAACAGAGTGTCCCAGGTCATGTACCACAGTCAGCTATGACGTCTGGACCTATGAGTCAAGCTACACCAGATGGTTCTGATCCGACTACTTCTACTTCAAAGGCTACCCCTGAGAACCCAGCGCAGTGGTTGGGAGGAACACCTTCACCGGACCCTATGGCGTTGTTAGCAGGGGGCATGGCTCAGTTGCAGGCCGTGATGCTGAAGCAGATGACGGACAAGGAGAAGCCGAAGGACGAGGATCGAAGTCCGGAGGCCGTTAAGCCAGGTACGACAGTCCTACCGATGCTCCCGGAAGTCAATCCTCAGACCTCTTCCGTCGACATTATGGATTGGCTCGAGGTTATCACCACAACGATGCAGGACTTGTCGGATGGCAGTGCAGAATGGTGGAGTCGTGTGAGAGCGTTGGCGGACAGCTCTTACGTTTCATGGACGCATGCATCCCCAGTCGAAAAGCTGAGCATCGTCCCTCCTCGTGATGAGGAGCTTGAGACCGGAAAGTGGAGCCGCGTCAATAGCAGGGGCGCATCAATGGTCATGATGGCGTTGCACGAAACAGTCCGGCAAGAGATGGTTCAGAGGCGGTCAACAGGGTCAGTCACCGCCATGGTGTTTAGACTCCTCACCTTGTACCAGCCGGGTGGCCAACAGGAGAAGGTGACCATCCTCCAGAGCCTGCAGCAGCCGGAAGCCGAGCACACTCCTCAGCGGGCTGTAAAGTCTCTGCGCTCGTGGTCCAGATGGTTGAGAAGGTGCCGAGAGCTGGGGGTTTCGGCTCCCGATCCAAGCCTCTTGGCGCGCGGCCTCTCCAGTATCACCAAGAATGTCCTGGAGAAGGATGCTGAAGCGAGTTTTCGTACCTCGTTGGTCAAGAGCCACCTGCTCATCGACACACAGCCCTCTATCGACTCAGTCGAGAAGTATTACCACCACTTACTTGCAGAATGCGAGACAATGGCAGTGTCTTCTTCTACGTTGACGTCACCCACTCCGACCGCTACAAACGGGACAACTCAGAAGCCTGAGCCGAAGCTGAAGCCAATCCGACCGGATCGTCCTGGAAATGGAAATCAGGCAGCTTCCTCTACAACCCCGGCTGCGCCTTCGAGATCTTCCTCCCAGTCTACTACGCGCTCGGAGAATGAGTCGGCGGATAAAACTGCTGAGGAGAAGGCCAAGGTACCATGTAGGTTCTTCGGCAAGACCTACAAGGGATGTGCGAGAGCCGGAAAGTGTCCATTCCTGCACTCCTGGGAAGGCTTGGAGAAGAATGGGAGATGCTTGGCTTGTGGCGGAAAGAACCACTCCGCAAAGGATTGCCCCAACAAGAAACCGCCGCAGAGCACCGAATCTACGTCAACCGCAGCCCCGCCTAACCGACCTCAGGGAACAAGGACACAGACTTCCTCTACCACCCCGAATGCTACCTCCAACAAGAATGTCCGTATAGATGAGACTCCTCAGGTCGAACCGATACCGGCCAGATCTTCCTCTTCGAGCGCGACTCCGGGTGAAGATCCTGTGGACTTGAAGGAGGTCCTGGCAGACGTTGGAAAGATGCTAAAGGCTATGTCAGCGTCATCACTCAAGACTGTCCGGGTCCACGACCACTTTATCGGCGACAGTGAGGAGCTCATCATGAAAAGGGCTTTGGAGGCGGAGGGCGCGGAGGCCGAAAAGATGGGACTGCTGGACAGCGGCGCGAGTCATCCTATGAGGCCGGCAGAAGAGAGGGAGTACGAAAGTGGGCAACCTGTCCGTGTTACCCTTGCGGGCGAGGATGTGCGAATACTACGCCAGAATCGTCAAGGGACGATCCTTGTCCAGGAGGAGACAGCACCGATACAACCCATCGTCCCCCTCGGCGCGGTGATTGAGAAACTGGGATATACCCTGCACTGGAGTCCTCGAGCCCTTCGGCTAACACATCCCAGCAAGAAGTCTATCCAGGTCAGGATCAAGAACCACTGTCCGGAGGTGGCAGCGGAGGATGCACTCAATTTGATAAGGGAGCTGGAGATGAACCAGGTCACCGCCTTGAACGTGCAGGTCGAGAACCTAAGGGCGAGGTTGGAAGTCATCCGAAAGGAGGAGAGTCGAGACTGGAGTGAACTACTTCGGGAATTCACAAGGACTGGGGCTAGACCGGTGTTGCTCAAAGCGATCCTCACTTCGCCCTTCACCAAGGACCTCCCCTCGGATGTACAATCACTCCTCTTGGAAGACTTCGACCCCGAGAGTGGCTTCCAGTGCTTGAAAGCGCTTCCCCTCACCCGGAGAAAGCGTCGGGCGTTGATCTTGTCGAGAAGTTGGGTTGTGAATTTGTTCTCCGGTGACCAGGAGTGCCAGGATGACCCCTTCAAGACAATCACCCTCAGCGGTAAGATCGTTCTCAACGTCGACCTCACCAATTCGAAACTTTGGGACATGAACAGGGCGGGAGGCGTGTATCAGTTGTTGCTATGGGCTGCCTCTACTGGAAGGATTTCTGATGTGCTTGGAAGCCCCCCGCATCAAACATGGCCGACTTCAGCTGCACCGACGCGGGGGCCAAGTTCATATTCAGTGCGGACCACCGACGAGCCGTACGGCATCAAAGACCTTACAGCCTTTCAGCTTCAGCAAGTCCATAACGAGACCGCCTTGGTAGCCAAGCAAATGATGATATGGCTCCTCTCCCAGATCGGAGGCAACCGCAATGTGGGCTTCCTCATGGATTTTCCCTCGGACAGGGAACGCCTGCGGAAGGAAGTGCTCGTGGACGCATCAATTTGGGAGACCACTATGTGGAAGGGTTTTAGTTCGGTGTCCGGGATCAAGGAAGTTTCTTTCTATATGGGAGCCTATGGACACAAATCAGCAAGACCGACTACGGTGGCCACAACCTACCCCGCTGTTATCCAGGCTGACAAGAACTATCATGTCTTCAATTGGTATGTTCCCTCCTCCCTCTTGAGCGCTACGGAAATAAGGCGATGGTCGCACACCTTCAAGGAAATTGTGGCGGACTCCATCAAGGATTACCATGAGGCCCACTTGAGCGAGGAGGAGAACATGATGAAAGCGGGTGTGAAGGTGAGCAAGCTCACCAAGGAGCAGCGAGAATCCTGGCATCGTCACTTGATGAGCGATCATCAACCATATAGAGCGGACTGCTCGATATGTATAAACGCGCAGGCGACTGGATATCAGCATCGGCGGCGAGTTCATCCATCAATGTATTCCCTGGCCCTTGATCTAGCTGGTCCCTTCCGGCAAAAGGGGCGCGACATGAACCACGACGACTATCGATACATCATGGTCGCTGCCTATCGATGTCCGAAGGAGTACATGAGTGAGCGAGCGGTCAAAGACTTGGACAAGGACTACTACGTTCCCGACGACCCCGAGGACGAGGTCGAGGGTGACCCGATGGAATTGGTTGCTGCCCCACGACATGGTGAAGGACCTTCGGAGCCTGAGGCTGAGGAGGAGATGGAAGAGTTGCCGCGCGAGGGCCCCGAGGTTTTAGATGATGCAGTGGAAGGTCTAGCTCATCAAGAAGAATGGGCCACTGTGTACATCACCCGCCCCCTGAGAGGGAGAACCACTCAATATGTTCTTCAGGCTGCCAAGGAAATCCTGCTTCAACTGAGGCAGACTGGACTCCATGTGGGCATCATCCACACGGACCGCGCTCGCGAGTTCAAAGCGAAAGCCTTCAAGGAATGGACTGTTGACTCCCAGCTCAGACACACAAAGACGGCTGGAGGCGACCCGGCGGGGAACAGTTCTGCTGAACTTGGAATAAAGTGGGCAAAAGCTCGGGTGCGTGCTCTTCTTTCTGCGGCAAAAGCCCCACCAAGGGATTGGCCAATGGCGATTCAACATGCCTCCTTTTCTATGTGGGCCAAGGTGTTCCCTGACAGCCCATGGGCGGCACCACCAGCTACAGCCTTTGGGAATGAGGTGTGGTTCAGGTCGAAAGTCTACCAGGGCAAACAGGAGAAGAAGCACGACGCGGCAGGATCTCGGTGGAAAAGGGGATGGTATCGTGGACCGGCAGGAGATGTTAAAAGGGGTCATTTGATCACACGAGATGACGGAGGCCTTACAGTGGCCAAGAGCGTGAAGTTTGGCATCACCGATCCAGGCCGGGATCTGGCCAATCTCCTATCCCCTGCCATTGCAGAAGGAGTTCCTGAAGAGCTACTTGAAAGGGACCGCCCACCTACAAGGGCGGAGTTGCGAAACGAGATAGAGTTTAAAGCGCGGAAGTATGGGGAGCTTGAGGACTACAGCCTGGACAAGGCCGTGGAGCTGTTCGGTCTCCTGGAGTTGTTGGGGGACACCGACAAGAGAGTTGGAAAGAAGTCTTCTATGTCTTCATGGTATACAGGTGCTTTCGTCCATGGAGGAGTCGCAGGGATGAGAAACAACACTAGGGATTTCCCTTTCACCACGAAGTACCTAGTGAATCTGGGCAAGCATCACTGTGGCGACATCAAGTTCTCCGCGCTGGGATTGGCCAAGAACGCTCAGCTTGGACTCCACCGCGACTCCCACAACTGCAAGTCCTCCGGAAACCATGTCCTCCCTCTCCAAGATTTCCAACAGGGAGCTTTATGGGTCCAAGACGATGATGTCGAAGACAAAGACTGCGAAGTTCGAGTGCTACCTGGAGGTAAAGTTGTGAGGGGAAAAATCATTGAAATGAAGAAGGGCAAGCCAGTGACGTTTTCTCCCCGGAGTTGGCATGAAGTGCTACCGTGGAAGGGCGAGCGTTTGGTGCTCCTTCTGTTTACCCCGAGGGCAACAAAGCTGCACCCGGACAATGTCGAGGCCCTTGAGGACATGGGCTTTACCTTTGGAGTTGGTGCCCTTGCCAATGCGGAAGGGGACTCTGATGATGAGGACCAACAGGACGAGGGCCTTGCGGCCTTTCCGGTTTCTATGGTCAAAACGATGAGGATGGAAAAGGACATGCCCTTTGACGAGGACTACGCCTTTGAAGAGATCGAGGAGGAACCGATTGCTGAGGGGAGAACCTATGCGGAAGGAGTGCGAAACCAGACCGCAGCTAAAATGATGAAGATGGTGAAAAAGGCCGAGGTCCAGTACACCAGTGGCATCGAGGACATTTTGTCTGATTTGGAGAAGACTGGAGGAACCCTGCAGGTCACCCACAACGTTAGTTTGAGTGAGGTTCGCAAGAACATCAATGCGTGGAAACCGTCTGCCCTTAAGGAGTTCCAGAACCTCAAGGATGTGAAGAAGGCCTTTACAGTGAAGGCCCGTCACGAGCTTCCTGCCGGGTGCCGAATAGTTCCTTGTAAGGGTGTCTACACCGTGAAGCCCTGCAAGATCAACGGTTTCCGGCGGAAAACACGGTATGTTGCTTGTGGGAATCATGTCCCCGAGGACCAGACCGACTTTGACCTCTTTGCTGCGGGAGTCGATGCGACTACACTGCGATCCCTCTTTGCTGTCCACGGCAGGAAACCATGGCGAGTCGGAACCACCGACATCCGGCAAGCTTTTGTTCTCGCCAAGTGGCGGGGACAGCCTGTGGCCTTGGAACCCCCGCGAATAGCCTACGAACTGGGGCTTGCATCTCCCGGCGACTACTGGTATGTCGAACAGGCAATCTATGGTCTCCGAGAATCGCCTGCACTTTGGTCTCAGTTTCGAGATGAGCAACTCAAGGCAGCGAGATGGACTCGGACCGTTGATGGAAAGAGCGTAACTATGAAGCTGGAGCAACTTGTCTCGGACAACCAGGTCTGGAAAATCATCCAGGAGGAAGGCTCCTCCGAGATCTACGGGTACGTGGTTGTCTATATCGATGATCTCTTGATGTACGCTCAGGAGGAGATGATGCATGGCTTCTTCGAATGGGTAGCTGAGAAGTGGGAGGTGGATGCGTTGGATGTCCTGGACTATGATCACCCTATCAGGTTTCTTGGGATGGAAATGTATCGTGTCCCAGGAGGAGTGGAAATTTGCCAAGAGGGATTTATCAATGAGATCCTGAGAGTCCATAATCACCGTGGAGGAAGGTCCCAATCTCAAGGGCCCAAGGAGACGCTACTACTCAGTGACGAGGAGGAGCGAGCTCTGATCGATGCAGATCCGGTCACTATTGACACCTCCAGCCCGGTCGTCAAGGAGGCCCAAAGACGAGTTGGGGAACTACTCTGGCTCATGGGTCGTACACGACCTGACATACAACACACCGTTTCGGTGATGGCAGCCAGGATTACGAGATGCCCCGAGATTGTGAACAAGGTGGGTGAGCGCCTACTTGATTATTTGAATGAAACAAAGCATTATCGGTTGGCTCTGGTTCAGGACAGCGACGATGCCATCACGGAATTGAGCATCTACACAGACTCATCCTTCGCGCCAAGCGGAGGACGGTCCCAAGGCGCGGCCGTAGTTTTCTACGGACAGGCACCGCTAACATGGCGGGCGGGACGTCAACAGTTGGTGACGTTGTCGACTGCAGAATCAGAACTAGTGGAGACAGTGGAGGGCATTTTGCTGGGGCTGTCGACTAAGGAGCTGTTGGCAGAGCTGTCGGGTGTCCCACTTTCTTTGGTGGCCTGGGTCGACAACTCTGCGGCTATCAGTTTGCTCACTACCTCATCGGGAAGCTGGCGCACCAGGCACTTAAGACTAAGAAGCAACTGGGTTAGAGAAATGTCCATTCGCAAAGAGGTGAGCATAAAGTTTACCCCAGGGGAATTTCAACGGGCCGATTTAGGCACCAAGCCGTTCACCCGCGAACGGCTCCGCCAACTGATCCGACTTTGGAACATGAAGGACCGGAGACCCGAAGCTGAAGTTCGTTCCGCGAGAGTGAATGTTCCGAATCCGTGGATGAGGAAACTTCTACTACTTTGCCAGCTTTGCGGAACGGCGGCTCAGAAGCAAGATCTCCAAACGGAGATCCCTTGGGACCTCTACCTCGCGGTGATAATCCTTGGAATCGCCATCATTGGCCTATGGGAGGGTGCCAAGCACTGTTGTGGAATGAGAGAGGCCAGAGTCAAGACCTTGAAGACCGCGGCCCTAAAGGCCACGACAGGAAAAATTACGAGGATCGAGCTCAAGGAGTTGCAAATGCTGCTTCAGCTTGACCCTAAGGACCTCACCCCGGAACAGAAGGAGAAGCTGTGTGATCTGAGAGACAGGTTTGATGCAGCTATGCCGAACTCTACGCCGCTACCTCGAGGATTAAATGATGATGAACCTCCTCTACCACGAGAAGAAGAAGTTGCTTCCTCCTCCACCTGTAGGTCAAGGGGAAATAAACAACCCAAGCCAAAGACCTTCAAAGACCAGGAAACGCAGGCCAATATAGAGCCTGTGTTCGTTAGAGCACATTCCGCACCTCCAGCAACTAGGGAGGTCATATGTGGTCCTTTCTACCAAGTCCCTGGCAGAGATCACCTACATGTCTTTCGTGAATGCTGGGGATTGAGGAATGCAAGCCAGGTGAACACAGTGACACTTTGTCGATGCTGTGTGGAGAACGGCGGCCGACGCATCTATTAATTGATGCGGCCCTAACGGTGGCACCAAGGAGGAGTGCAGATTTCTCCGGCCGCCTGTGTATGCAAGTCTTTGTATGCAAGCCCTTGTGATGCAGCGGATGGCTCAAAGAGCTGATTCTGAAGCAATGTAAAGGACTACTGAAGTCACTCCAAGGCATGTGCCCTTCTCGGCAGAAGCCAGCAAGTACACAGTTTGTAAAGACCAAAGCTAACTGTGCAGGTTCTGTGCTAAAACAATTTGCGTGAGCTTGTCTCCATGATGTACGGCGCATCGACTGCATAAGCCCGTTATTTACCTCTGGAGTCAGAGTTCAAGAGGTTTTTAGGGTTTAGGGTTTAGGGTTTAGGGGTTTACCTAGACCCTGAAGAAGCTACCTTTTTAAGGACGTCTGTAAGGAAATCATAGTAAGGAACCCTAAAAAGGGTAGGTTTTTCAGGGTCCGGATAGGGCCCAGTTAGAACAGCTCTTTTATGGGTGCATTTAACAGGTTCTTTATGGAGTCCGTAAGGTTTTTGGGGTTCCAGTTCCTGCATAGTGAAGAATAGGGGCCAGGGGTACACTGGGAGTAGTGTTGGTGTCTCAGGCCCATACTTTATCATACACTCTGGATATCGTAGGCTGTAAGGCCTCCAAAGGCTTCAGGGTGTTCGGGCCGACAGGGTTTATGCAGGGTTCGGGTTCTAGCGTCGAAAATCAGAATCCAGGGTTGAGGTCGGTATTTATTGCGAGTTGGGCTAAGTAGGGGTGTTGATGATTGGAATGGGGCCTTTTTGGGTATCTTATCTATGGTTGCCGAGGGCAATAAGTGAATATGCCTAAACGTCGAACACTCTCTGGGGGCTTAGGATGCTGGAGCCGGTTGGGGTTTGGAGTTCGCAGGCTTAGCGGTAGTGATTACCAGATGACACAAGGACCCACGGGACAAAACCTCCCAATCAACATCCAATCACACACACAGGGTCCCTGAACCCAATAGTCTAACCGCAAGCCGTAAGCATTGCACCGCTCGTCGTCGGGCTATTGGTCGGGTTCGGGGGTGCGGGTGCATAAGACTTCCTGTGTCCCATCTAGGAAAAAACTCCGCCGTCGTACTACAGAGGTTGGACTAATCAGTATAAGAACTGCAGTCCTTAAAGTCTAGTAACGTCCATATATGTCTGCATACGGTATCAATTAACTAATGGCATCCCCCAGCAAACCCAAAGGAAATTATCAAGGCCAAAACCGGCCAAAAGACCTCTCTTTGAATCGAGAGAAGCCGGAGACTGAGGGTTTAGGGATTGCAGAGTTTATAGGGTTTAGGGAGTCCGAGTTTGCTTTGGTCCAGGGTTTAGGGGATAGGCTAGGTCTCGGCTTTAGGTCTCGAGTTAGGACCTCGCATGAATCGTCCTGAGTGAGGACTAGAGCTTGCGTTTGGGGATGACAGAATTTTAGAAGATGATAGTGAAGTTCTCGCGAATAAAAACCTCCCACCTGTCGATGAGTGGAGTCAAAAGAGGTACTACAATCAACTCTGCCTTCCAGCACCTCGCCAAAGACGACATGCTTGCCTTTGCGCAGCAATGGAAGAGTTCTCGCAGTAGGGCGTGAGCTTGAAGAGGTCGGGGATTAAGAGTAACCCGCTATGTGGATTGTAACCAGACGCAACTATTACGCAACACTGTAACTACGTTGATTAAGCACGTCTTCTGTGTAGCCTTTGTGGTTCAAGGTCTTTCGCACAGAAAAAACAATGAACGAAGCAACAAGTTATTCAACCAAGCTCCGCACTTAATGATGACCAGGAGGGCTTGGAAAGGCAGAGACACACTGCTCGTCTTCCGCAGACAAGTCAAGGCATAAACCCTAAACCCTAAACCATTGTTGCTCGAAGCCCTCCGGCCCGACATCCCTAAACCCTAAACTCCAGAGAATTGTCAAATTTTCGAGTCTGGGTAGGGTTAATGGTTTAGGGTTTTCAACAACAACAAAACATTAATCAGGCAACCTGAACCCTTAAAGTTCACCTTCGTCGGCTCCTCAGGGCTCTCCTCTTGGGATGCATTGCGGCAGGTGGTCTTTGTTAATCGGGCGAGCGGATTGCTTCGCCAAAACCCTGAATCCTGAACCGCATCAGGTGCTCGGAAGCAGTGCTAAGGCCCCGATGCTGCTGTCGAATTAGCCCCTAAGCCCGGAACCCTAAGATGCGTTCAAATTTCGGGGGTTTCGGAGTTTAGGATCAGCACTTCACGGTCTTGGGGATTCTATCCACTCGAGGAGAAGGTTGTGACTTTCTGCCATCGCATCTCGAAACTTAGAACGAGGAAAAAAACAAGCGAACAACCGCTGTGCACCCCTCCATCTACAAACACCGCTGCACTGGCCAACCATTCGGTCGGGCAGCCATCCAAATGGTACGCAGGCGCGGTCGTAATGAAGAACTGGGATCCGTTTGTGTTCGGGCCAGCCTGAACCAGGATTTGGGGTGCGGAATCCTTAAACCCTATAGAGCCCTCAATGCTCAATCTTAAAGTCCCTACACGGTTACAGCATCCGCCAAGTTAAACGCCTCGAAGTGCGATGCCGTGCTAGGTTCGCCTATTTCCTCCGACCAAGTCCAACCCAAGCCTTAAACTACGAACCGTAAGACTTAAATCGCAGAGCTTCTGAACCTTAAGCCCTAAACCTCATGCCTGGTCAGAAGCTACTGGGTTAGGCGTTTACAAGGGTCCGGGAGCCCCAATCCTTAACTCTCGCAGTCTCGGGTACTTTGGGGTTCGGACCTTCGCACGTAAGAAAGCGACCCCGAGTCTTGTGTTGATCTGAGCACCAGGAGCAGTCCGGCGTCTTCTTTGGTATGCTCACAAACGGCAGGTGTCTTCAGGGCGCGTAGAATGTACGCAGGCGCAGCTTAGAGCTGCTTAAGGGTCTCGGGGTTGATCAGTTCCGCGAGCCCTACACTAGACTCTAGACAACAAACCATGACCTTGCAAACTCCAAACCCCAGCCCCAATCGCACACCCTAAGCCCAATAAGCTGTGCCCACCCTAGACCCTAGCCCCAAAGCCTGTATGACCCAAACCCTACAAATCGCAGAAGCGCCTACAAGTCACAAACCCTTGGTCGAGCGCTTTACCCCTACGCCGTTGCCCCTACTGTAACGAGTCCTAAACGCCACATGCAAGCCACCCTACACGGCCCCCAAGCCACTTCAACAATAAACCCAATGCTCATTTACCACACTTAGCTAGACTAGGGCAAGTAGTTTTTCTGGCAGCGCATGAATTTATTATAGGGACTATAACGGGATGACGTGCCTTTCGTTACTTGTTACCGTATTCAGACCTCCACGTTATGTAAATCGCCCTGCATCACAAAACCCGTGAGGCTCGCCACAAGCCCCAGGGCCCTGGAGCCCTCTGCTTACGGGCTTAGTACCCTAGCTCCCCCAAAGATAGTTAACGATCTAACTATGGCAGAGCTAATCATATATAATTGGACATGCATGTTGAAGGTTTGTCGACCACCCTGTAACCCCCAAACCTCCTAAAACCCTAAACTCCAAACTGCACACCCTAAAGCCCTAAACCCATGAACCCTAAATGGCCATACCACCGTAAACCCTAAACCCTAAACCCTAAGCCCCGAGACTCTTAAGGCCAGGCGGCATTCGCCATGCTCAGCAGCCCGGGTTTGTTGTGCGACACTCCGAACCTTCCAAGAGAGGCCAACCCTAAACCCTATTATAAACTCCCCCTAAACCCCATACCCTGAATCCGAACCCTGGTTCAGGGCCTGGGGCTTAGGGTTTCAAAGGCTTTAGAACTCCAGCCTTCGAGGGCTTTGGGTGTGAAGTTGTTTAGGGCTTTCGGGCTGTGGGCTTTCAGGGTTTCGGGGCTTCGGAGTTTCTACTGTGCTAAGCTATCTCACTGTCATGGCTGGCTTCTGGTGTTGTGGGCGTGCGGCGGAAAGGGTGAAGGGTTTCGGGGCTCGGGGGTTTGGGTCGGTGTTGTCGCTGATTGGTCTTTGGATTCACAGCAACCCTAAACCCTAAACCCATATAGCCTTTCAGGTCTTTCGGGCCTGGTTGGTATAAGGGCAAGTTATACAGGCCTAGCAGGTGGATGAAACCCGAGGCTGGCATGAGGAAGTGCTGGATTCGCCCTGCCCTCCCGACGCACCCTAACTTAACCCTGCCAAGCAGCTGCTCGTCTTCGAAGCGTCCACCATAGATGGACACTCCGCCAGTCCCATTACCATTGGTGGTGTCACCCCCTTGTACCATGAATCCCGGTATGATGCCTCACAGGAACAGTCTTCGGACAACAAGTAGAAGTTTGATCAATCTCATGTGCAAAACCGCGGCTGCCAAGCACATGAGAGGGACTACATGCAGCACGTGCCGATCACTGCAGAAATGCAGAAAACTCGTGGTCCGAAAGATGTACATACCTTCACCTATGGGAAAATCCAAGACGATGTCGACGTGGTGACCGGGAAAAAGGTCTGGGATGAGTTGAACATCTGGGCGATTTTCCCTTCACGAAGCCACGGTACCAAGAAGCTTCAGGTCAGCATATGCGAAGTTGTGCGAACCCTAAACTGGATCCTAGCAAGCAGGACATCTGGCAAACATGACATCAAATCATCAACGCACATATTCACGGCTCGATCGAGCCCAGCCTGACTGTTACTACATCTTCTCCCGGGTTTGGCTTGCAGATGCAGTAACTCTTTCGTTCGGGTGCCGTTGACGCCCACCGGAAAATGGTGCTGATACATAGGTTGGACATGAGGCTTATGGAGTTTCCGTTTCAGTTGGAAACAAACGAAGTGGAAAGTTAAGTTTCATGCGCGCACCAAATACAAAGAGCACGAGGCTTCCCTCCGAGCAACTGAACCATTAGGGTTTAGGGTTTCTTAAACCCTGAACCAGGCACAGTTAAC